CACAGTGTGTCTTTAAACTACAGCTCTTTTTATTTTTTTTATTATTACTCAAAAAAAACACACCTCACCTCTCCACAGATCTGACCTCTGACTCGACTAGATGTCGTCACCAGCTTGTTTCCATGGAGATATGTATCGATCCAAGTGTAAAGCCACACTGCGGAACTTTACAGGCAAGGCAGAGGTGGACAAGAGACAAAAAAGTTCAACAGTGGAGCTTTAAAGAGCCCATGTTACACTATTTTCTGTGTTCTAATGCAGTTTCCTCGTCACAAACCGACCTGGAGTTGTGTTTTTTTTTTTTTTTGTTTGTTTTTTAACGCACAAACCTGCACTGAAAACAGTCTGCTCCACCTTGTGATGTCATGTGGTGATACAGGAAGTGCTCCACTGTGTTTTTAAACTCCACACGCCTTCACTTTCCTGCGATTTGATTTCAGCTCTGGAATTGCCGATCTCTGCTGAGGTAAAGGTGTAAAAAAAGAAGAAAAAAAACACAGTGGAAAACCTGAAAACCAGCACACTTATGACATCACCAGGTGAAACAGAGCGTTTTAATCTGCGTGTCATTTGTTCATTTGTCTTTCAAAATAAAACCAAAAATAAGAAAATGATTAAAACAACGATTTTCCAGTCCTGGTTTAGACTTGGTTTAATCCTGGTTTTAGTCTTGGTTTAGTCCTGGTTCAGTCTTAGTCTGGTCCTGGTTTAGTCCTGGTTCAGTCTTAGTCTGGTCCTGGTTTAGTCCTGGTTCAGCCCTGGTCTGGTCCTGGTTTAGTCCTGGTTCAGTCTTAGTCTGGTCCTGGTTTAGTCCTGGTTCAGTCCTGGTCTGGTCCTGGTTCAGTCCTAGTCTGGTCTTGGTTTAGTCCTGGTTTTAGTCCTGGTTTAGTCCTGGTTCAGCGCTAGTCTGGTCCTGGTTTAGTCCTAGTCTGGTCCTGGTTTAGTCCTGGTCTAGTCCTTTTGGTTTAGACCTGGTTTAGACCTGGTTCAGACCTGGTTCCTGGTGTAGTCCAGTTTTAGTCCTGGGATCAGTCCTGATTTAGTCCAAGTCTGGTCCTGGTCTCAGTCCTGGTCTGGTCTTGGGTTAGTCCTGGTTCAGTCTGTTTTCCGTTTTTTCCATTTTTCATTTAAACCCAAAATCAAAAACCAAAAAAAACGAATAATTATCAGTTTTTTCATTTTAGTTTTGGAGACAAATAATGAACAAAACAATTTTTTCATTTCTTGTTTTTGGTTTTATTTTGAAAAACGAATAAACGAACGACACACGGATTCGTTTTGAGTTTTCGAGACGTAAACAGACAAATAAAAAACGTCACTCAAACAAAACTCCGGGTCTGTTTTTTGTTTTTGTTTTTTGACGAGGAATCGGCGTTGGAACACGACGTAAACCTCACAGGAGTCTTTGGAGTTTGTTCATATCGGAACGTTTAAACTTTTGCACACGTGAGTCTCTGCGAGTTTTCCGAGCGAGGACGGTTTCCGGTGAAGCGCAGAAATCCCCGGAACGTCGTGAACCTGCTGTAGATAAGTGTCATGTACAAAGTGAGCGTGAACTTCCCAAACAGAACCTTGTGCGTCGTGTTGTATTTTTATCCCAAAATAGAAATGTTTGATTTGTAAACGTGTGGCGTCTGCTGGTGCGTTCAAACGAGAGGGACGGACTTTTACCGGAAATAAAAAAAATTACGTAAAAAACAAAATAAAAAAACAAAGATGAAACTCGTGTCTGAATCACATTTTGTACAGACTGGATTTTTGTAAATTTTTATTTGATTCCGATGCAACACAAATGGAAAAATAAAGTTCACTGTGGTGGAGTCTGAGTGTGGTTTTGTGTTTTTGTTTAGTCCTGGTTTAGTCCTGGTCTAGTCCTGCTTTAGTCCTGGTTTAGTTCTGGTTTAGACCTGATTTAGGCCTGGTTTAGTCCTGGTTAAGACCTGGTTTAGTCCTCGGTTCAGTTCTGGTTTAGACCTGCTTTAGTCCTGGTTTAGTTCTGGTTTAGACCTGGTTCAGTCCTGGTTTAGTCCTCCTTTAGTCCTGGTTTAGTTCTGGTTTAGTCCTGGTTTAGTCCTGGTTTAGTCCTAGTTTAGTCCTGGTTTAGACCTGGTTTAGACCTAGTTTAGACCTGGTTTAGTCCTGGTTTAGTTTAGACCTGGTTTAGGCCTGGTTCAGTCCTGGTTTAGACCTGGTTTAGTCTTGATTTAGACCTGGTTTAGTTCTGGTTTAGTCCTGGTTCAGTCCTGGATTAGTCCTGGTTTAGTCCTGGTTTAATCCTGGTTCGGTTCTGGTTTAGTCCGGTATCTCAGTATAAACATGTCACACAAAACTCAGACTTTCAAACTGTACAACCAGACAGCACCAAACTCACACACCTTATTTTCATTAAGTTACGTCAGTTACAACTACAGCCATGTCAATCCACTAAATGAGTCAATCCACTAAATGAGTCGTGTCTTAATGTAAGAGCTCAGCCACTCAACGTGTAATAATAACACGCTGATAAAAAACGCATCTTGTTAACAACTTTCTCATGTTTTTCTAAATTAATTTTAATCTAATGGTTTGGAAATAGTACATTCTTATGTCTCGAACACTTCTGTCTCACTCATGGTCCGAATACACAGACCAAAAATGGCTCCTGTCACCCCACAAAACACTTTCCCATGAAGCATTGCGGCCAAGTTTATAGATCGATACAGTATTTAACATTTTGTCAAGTGTTATTAAAAATCAGAAAATAACCACATATTTTGTGCTAAAATAGTCGAAATATGTTTTTTTTTTCTTGAATAAAAAGTTGTTTCTGTGGATGTTTGTGCGCATGCTCAGCAGAGAGAGGCAGACAGATGGAGCCGCGGCTCTTCCTGCATCAGTTTGCGGCGCCTCCGCTGTGTTACAGACAAATAATCTGTCTGTTTTATACAGTGAGTCTCTGCTCCACTGGCTCATACACCGGGAATAATATTTGCAAAGGTGCGTTTTCCACAGCCCTCCCCTCGAGAGCCCCTCACGGCTTCTACACGCTCTGTTCACAAGGCGCGTTTGCCGCCGCATGTCGTACATTTCCACACGCGCTCAGAACATTCACAGGTTGTATAGTTCACTGTGTTAAGACACTTGTCATCAGTGCGGCCGGGTTCAACGCTCTATCTTCATGTTAACGCTTTTATTTTGATCTTTTTCCGTTTTGTGTGTAAACAACATCATTTATTAAAACTCACTGTTTTTATGAGTTGATGTGATTTTTGTTTGTTTGTAAAGAAAAGCAACTTAATGGGACACACAGATTTGTTCTTGACGCTTGACTATTTTACTTTTTATAATCAATTCAATCAATCAAACTTTTATTTATAAAGCACTTGTCATACAAAAATGTAAACAAAGTTGCTTTAAAACACAGATTAAAAAACATGAACAACCACTTTCCACCACCCACCCACTAACCCAACCACCAAAACAGCTGCCCAACTCGACACACCAAACATCACAGACACCAGATACCCCCCCCCCCCCCCCCAACAAAACCTTGTGTTCTCTTCAGAGTTGAAGCTAAACAAAGGCAGAGAAAATATCTGAAAATATAAATACTGTATATATATTTGTTCTGTATAACCTGCTCTGTTTTCTGTTCTGACTCTTCAAAATAAAAGTGCCAAATGTGTTTGGCAAGTGGAAGTTAATGATCAACAACAGAAAATAATAAAAATAAAAATGTCAAAAGAGGTTTTAACAAAGGCAAATGATACTCTGGGTTATTTACATTGAGGATTAATAAATTCATAATTAATAGATTTTTAAATGACACATTTTTCTTTTTCTGGATTATTCTGATGTTTCTTTCCTCTGAGCTCCGTCTGAGGCGTCTGCACACGAGCTGAACATCTTCAGGATTCACCACCTGTGGAGGAGCAGAGATCAGAAATGATTCAGTTTAAACTGTTACACACCTGTAAACACGTCACATCCAAAACTAAAATACAATGGGACTAGACCAGGACTAGACCAGGATCAAAACGGGACCAAACCAGGACAAGTGTTGAGCGCAGCCTCAGATCCACAGAGCAGATCCACCCCCACACACACAACAGTGAAGCAGAGCACAGATGGACCAGAAAGTCCATTATACAAAGTGTAAAGTCTTCAGTGGATTCCAGTGCAGTGAACTCCACACCTCAAATAACGTCCGGACAAGTCTGAGTCTGGGAACAGGTTTTTCTCAGTTTCCAGAGGAATAAAAAAAACAGACAAAATGAAAAACATGAATTTCCTTGAGTCTGTTTTTGTGTAAAAAGTGACTGTGGCTTTAACACCTGAAACACGCCACACGAGTGAAGGAAAGTCTCTATTGTGTTTCTCTGTGCTGAAGTCTAGAGCAGATTAGAGCCACAAAGTCTGGCTGTAGACCTGCACCAACATGCACCTCCACCAACACGGCCCTCACCATTTTCATTTGTTTACTTTTTAGGAGAAAATTCATTGGAGCTTTGATCAGTTTTTGCCTGGAGGTTACGGTGAGTGAAGGTGCACTCTGTTGTCCCTGTAGGTCCTGTGGATTTACACATTAGTTCACTATTAAATGTTATTGAAAGTTCATTTGAATTTTTGCACTTATCACAACTTCAAAGATTGTTTGAATCCCCAGTACATTTCTTTAAGTGTCCAAATGTGAAAGTATCTTTGTGTTGTCTGTGCTCTGTTTGCAGAGAAATGAGCAGTTTGTCGTCACAAACATAAAACATTTAATTGTCGACATGTGGAAAACAACTGGGTAAATACAAATACAGTGTTCCCTCGTTTATCGCGGGGGTTACGTTCTAAAAATAACCCACAATAGACCAAATCCACCAAGTAGTCAGCTTTATATTTTACAATTATTCTATGTGTTTTAAGTGTGTAAAACCCCTCACCACACACTTTATACACTTTTCTCACACAGGACACTTACAACCTTTTTACATCCTTCTTAAAACTTGTTGCTGCTGTCGTCCTTGTTGTTATTTCCTCCTTCTTTATGTAACAAACCGAAGATTCATTTATTCCGTAATGACGCCTACAGCCGTGTAACTTCTCCTTCCTTCAGCGTGTCCAGAAGTCCAACTTTTTGTGTGATGTTTACATCTTCCTCTGTCTTTTGGGAGCGAGCGCAGGAGACTTTGTCGGTGCAGAACATTTCATCGACATTGTGGGTTTTGTGGAGGAGAAAACTTGCAAACATCCAGCACTTCAGAATCACACTGATACAGATCCAACATTTATGTCCATTTGTCTGAACACATTCTGTACTGTACAGGAGACACGGCACGGAGGAGATTGATTGACAACGGTCTACAGTCCCTCAGCCAATCAGGACGCAGGGGGAGGAGCACAATGCACCTTCATACACTGTAAAAAAAAAAAAAAAAAAAACATGCAAAATTGCACAAAAAAATTCTGTGAAACAGCGAGACCACGAAAGGTGAAGCGTGTTATAGTGAGGGACCTGGAGACCCGGACCCCGGTGAAGGAGGTGTGGACCGCTCTGTCCGAGCCCACAACCGCTGCGCCGCTGTCCTGCCTGTGCGTGTGACCACAACGAACCAGCTGCCGCCGCGATTCATACAGACCCGTGGTCGTGATCTCTGTGAGAACCTGACCAACTGTCTAACGGAGAAAACACTTTCAAGTAAGAGCTGGTTTGAACAGTGAATGTGCAGTGGTTGGCGTCCATCCTACAACTGTGTCCAATTACACGTAAAACCAAAACTGAACTAAACTGAACCCTGTTTTTATAACTGCCTCATGTTGTTAAAATCGGTGCTTTATTGTTCATCACGTCATCAGAACTTGAAAGTTGAGTGTCTCGTTGTTATTTTGCTGATAAAACAAACAAAGGAATTTGATGGTTTCAGTGATTTTTCTTCAAGTTATCATCAGGTCACTTTTTCGGGAACTTTTCCTTCAGATCGATAAAACTGATAAGTTGTTGTGATCACTATGGTTAAGTTTTGATTCAGTCAGAATCTGGTGCCCCACACATGTATAATTCAGTATAATTCAGTATAATTCAGTATAATTTGTTCATGTTAAACCATTAGACGCACACACACCTGATACAATTCTACATGGAGCCATTTCTCCTACACCAACATTTTAAGACTGAAATGACGAGGCCACAGCAGCAGCTACAGAGAGAGGAGCCACAATATTCCAATGTAAATCACTGGGAGCCAGAGTCAGAAGGAGCCGGAAGAGCCGCATGTGAACTTCCTGTTTGGAACGCGGCGGCTCGCACGTTAGCTACGTCCATTTCTATAAACAGTGGATGGTTTTTAGTGTAAATCAATGTAAACTTTTGTAAGGTTCCGTTGAAAACAGGAAAGTGTGTCTCTCTTTTGGCTGCTGTTTGTTACTGTTAGGGACGTGTGGAAGGAGGTGAGTCACGTGAGGGTCCTCTGGGTGAAGGTCTGCAGCCAGATCCCTCTCGATTACAGCAGAGAACAGGTCTGTCCAAGCAAAGTCTGACTGGATATGTTTGTCTCCTCGCTCTCTGTGGGCTGATTAGGTCAAGAAAAACACATTTTTGTTTTTGACTGAAGACCGCTTCACTGCACGAGCCTCGAAAAATAAAACGTGAAAAAGTTTGGAGGCACGTGAGTGAAACGAGCCTGGTGCAGGGCACTCTGCCGCTCTGTGGTTCAGACGTAAATTAACCAAACCATGTGTCAGTTTTAGAACAGAAGGAAACATGTGCCAACTGTTCCAGGCTCAAAACAAAACCATAAAATCACAACTCACCTCAGAGTCTCCAGACGACAGTCAGGACTCTGTTCAAGGTCCAGGAGCTTCTTCACATCTGATTCTCTCAGTCTGTTACCAACCAGCTCCAGTTCTCTGAGGTGTGAGGGGTTGGACTTCAGAGCTGAGGCCAAAGAGGAGCAGATCTTCTCTGACAAACCACAGCTCCACAATCTGAATAAAGAACACATGATGTGGTTTAAGTCCAGACAAATTTAGACTGTGCTTATAGAGACATTGTGAATAATTAAAAACATTATTAACATGACAATATTTTCTGGACTTAATGTCATTTAAATCAACAACACTTTCCTTAGAATATAGAATATTAAAATGTCACTTTTCTGGTGGAGGGTCTGGCCCTTTCCTGTCGACACAAAAGCATCTCCATGGAAACAAACAGGACGCAAAACCCACCAGAAAAGTTCCAGTGTATTTACATTTAAGTGTAATTATTGTCCACCTCTGACTCCAAGTACAGAGTAAATACTAGAGCTTATTATAGTCGAGCTCTTTAGTGAAACTCTGAAACATGACACAAGTAAGAGACAGTGAACTGACCTGAGAGTCTCCAGGCGACAGTCTGGACTCTGCAGAAAACCACACAGATGAAACACTCCTGAATCACAACAGGTTTGGTTAAACTAAGTCCAGTGTTTTGAGGTGTGAGGGGTTGGACTTCAGAGCTGAGACCAAAGAGACAATCTTCTCTGACAAACCACAGTCCCAATCTGAATAAAAAACACATGATGTGGTTAAACATCTTATATGACAGTTTTTCTCATTGTTAACACACTATTTTCATTCACCAAGTCCTCACAGCTTCACTCATTTCTCAAAACAACTTCAGTTAAAACCTTGAACACATCTGAGTAAAGAAAACATGAAGTGGTTAACGTCCATAGAAATATAGAAATATAGAAATATAGAAATATAGAAATATAGAGTATGTTTGTAGAGACATAAAATAAAGACATGGCAGTATAGCATTAATAATAATAGACACATATGAAAGCATTACTGAGTATGTTGTAAAGTCTTTTCTGGATTTAATGTCAAATAATCAACAGCACATTTGTTTTCAGTCATCTTTGACTTCTTCATGAGTTTGTTATATCATTGTTTACGTTTAGTTTGTGCAACTTTTTTTTTTTTTTTGAACTTTTTTATTTTATTTTTCAAAGGGATAACAACTTTCCCTGAGACAGAGTATAAAAATATTACTTATATAAATGCATTGTAACCCAGTAAGTGTGTGGTATATGTTATAATGATAAAAAAAAATAAATAAAAATAAAAATAAAATAAATAATAAAAATAAATAATAATATATATATATATATATATAGTTAATCATAATAGCCAAATAATAAAATAAATAGCGATAAATTAGATAAAAAAAAAAAAAAAAAAAAAAAAAACAATACGTACATATATATATATATTATATATATATATAT